ATGCAGCCCTAATTGTTGGGAGAGCGGGCCCAGGCGGGTGAGTTGACTGTGAACTTGTACTAAAGCGTGCTCTGCTGGCGATTCCTAGGGTGTGCAGATTTATCTTCTCTGCATTTACTTAACCCGGCAGTGAACTGCGCGGGCGTCATTTGTTAGGCGATGACAGACTTCACCTCCAGCAAGGGCTGCTTCACAAAATCGCAATAATTACCTAATAACCTTCATAACAAATATTATTATTGAAAAGACTGGTTTGTGGGTAGGGGACCTGAGAGAGAAGAACAAATTTCCTTGTGAAAAACACAAAACAAAACAAACCTGGGTAGACCTTCCATTTGGGGGGCTTAGAATGGCTAAGACTGGTTAGATCACCTCCGAATGTGGGTGGGAGCTAGGCTCACCCCTTCAGCCCTGCCTGGGACCCCGATTTATAGTTTTGTCATTGCCTAAAAGGAAATGCCTCCTTAGAAACCAGAAGGATGGAGCCCACTATACGATACTCTGCACTCTTCCTAGTGGGCAAGCCATGGACAGATTCCCAAGCCAAGGCAGGAGAGAAGCTGAGCAGGGTATCTTTTAAGCTAAAAAGATTGTTTGCCTCTTTAATAGTCCATCTTTTAAGGTGTGAACTGCTTTTCCCTTACTAATTATTTGGCTAAAATATTCTTGGAATATCGACAAATGAACAGAACTCTGTCTTACTCTCCCAGAGCCACTACAGTGAAGCAGGGGAAAGAGTAGGAGCAAAGGAATCTTAGCATCATGTTGTGAAATGAGACCATAGAAACCCTAACAAACCCCTAAGTGACCAGAAGCTTCCTATTACATTTACAGTTCAGGAAATATTGTCTCTTCATCTTGTGGAAACAAACGAGCCCCACCCCCAACCTTTCCCCTGCCTTTTCCTTTTACAAGGTGAGGAGCACAGACACACTTCTGCCACCGGCTGAGGCAGGATGTCTTCCTAAAGCCCTCAATGTCAGAGATCTTTTTCCTAAGTAAGCTCCTCTGCAAAAACAACCCAAAAGAATGCACAAAAAGAAATAACTTGTCTGCAAAATGAGCAGATAACCAACCATCCTCTTTATTGCACTTCCTATGACAATAAGAAGAAAGAAAAAATTCCTCCAATAGCACTCACATAGGTCTGACTGGATAGTGTGTCTTTAAAAAGTCATTTAACTCCATATGCACTGGCCTGCTCTCTTAAATTCTACTTAAGTTTTGTGAAGATTAAAACAGACGGAAATAAGTAAGCTGACAATATTTATAGAAATTACTTATAGTAATTTCTTTCATTTCTTGGAAGGATTCTCAATGTTGTATAGTGCTAGATACAACTACAGCCTTTCTACCCATCCCAACACCCCAGGGTGGGATATGACCATGAAGGTGGTGTGGATACTTTCCCTAAGCAAGTTACTCAAATGAACCTACCAGCATTTATATCATTCTTTTCCTGCTTCTAATTTCAGTTGCCAAGAAATCACCCAACCAAGCTCACCAAATGAGGAACGAAAATTAGGAACTATAACCCAATATCTTCCAGTAAAGAACCCAAAACTCAGAGCAGCAAAACAAAGACTCCAGAATCTTCCAACAAAATAGAACCCACACTTGCGCAGAGTTTACACATACATTCTGGTTCCCACTAAGATGTGGACACATCTTCTGAGTGCTAAAATACTAATGTTCATTTTATAGGTTACACAAAAATGACTTCAGAGATTCTTCACCTTGCCACTATTGATGAAAGTAGTACTAGTGGGAGGGTTTTGATTTCGAAAACTTTCCAGGTTTTGCTTTTTAGACCTGCCTTGGTGACCACTGTTGGACTTGTGTTGAGTGCAGGTGGTCTCTGCACAATAAAGTTTTCTGAAATTTCAAATCTATACTTCAAAATTGTTCACTTTAAGCACTTAGTAATTATCTTTACTAATTAGTACTTTCAAAGAAAACTGTCCAGCTCCAAAAGAGAAAAGCCCATCCAGGGCTGGGGGATTTTTTTGTTTCAGTTGGAGAATTTGGCTTAATTTCTAAAATAGGATTGGGGTGAATCTACTAGGTCCTTTATAGGTGCCCTTTCAGAAGAAGACCCCAGGTTAGGCCAGGAGTCCCCAGTTAACTCCACTTGGGTTTGCCAATGTAGCGGATTGGGGCCAGAGAGGGTGGCTAGAGGCAAGATAGAATTCTACCCAGGAAAAATTTATTTCACCTTACTTCACTCATTGGTGCAATTTTGGAGACTGCTTTGGAAATCACAGATTATGTAAATTTCCTGGGATCAAACAGAAAGAGCAGCTAACAAAAGAAAGGCGGAAATCTCCTACTGACAAACGACCAATTTCTTCCCTAAATTACCCTTTATGATGTGTCAGGAAAAACAACCTAATGGCTCTGGGGACTTTTAAGTTGGGCATTGAAGACACCTCAATTTCCCCCAAAACTTTAGAGCACAGTGTGGAAGAGAAAATTCGTCTGTATGTTGAGGGGGAGTAAATTTCTCCAATCTTTAGTGTTATCTAGGGGGACACCTAAGTTGCCTTTTGAGGGTCCTGTGCATAGATGTTTTAAGTCTACAAAAAAAAAAGGAGAGGAGAAGGAAAGAAGAGAGGGAGAAGAAAGGCAAGGCGGAAGAAAAGAAAGTGCTTTAATCCCTTTCAATTAGCCTGGGGATTCAAAGACTATAGTTAAATCCGGCCATAAAGTTTATTGCTTCAGACTCACAGGCGGGTGAGAACGGTCCCACTGAAATAAAAAGAAGCTGCAGGCAAACAAGGTTCAGGGCCTGGTCCCGGGTGTGAGGGAGGGTTGCCGAGCACTCCCTCCCCCAGGTGGGGACCCGTGTTACCGAGCGTCCCGTAGGCACAAGTAGCCTGGGTTCGACCTCACAACCTCGGGGCCCAGCCTAATGGAGCAACCCTCGACGGCCTCTGCCACCCTCTTGCTCCCGCGAGCCAGCCTGAAACTCGGCCCCAAAGGCGGCCACCTCAATTTAGCCCTGCCAGATGACCCCGGCCCGCCAAGACACATTGCCACAGCCCGTAAGGAATCCCGCTAGAGTCCGCCTAGGCCCTGCAATGGCCTTTCTTTCAAACTGCGGAGCACAGCTCAGCTCTCAGTGCCCGCGGCCGGCGCCCCACTGTCTCCCAGCCCCACACCCCAAGGCTCCAGGACCCCCAAGAGCCGGCCCCGGAATTGTGCAGGGGAGGGGTCGGCCCTACCCTGTCCCCACACACAGGCCCGCTCGTACACAAAAATCATCTTTTTGCACGCCAGCGGGAGCAGCGGAAGTCATTAACATCCGCGGTTATGCAGCAATTAAAGTTAGGCCTGGAGATGCGGCCCGGCCACAGGCGCTGTTCACCGTGCGGCCTCCGCAGAGGTGGCTCCTGGCGCCGCTAATTTGGTCAGAGGAAAAGTTGCTTCTTCCTTTTTGCATTCAGAGGCAGCCTCAGCATTATAGAACAGTGAGAGAGAGAGGGAGAGAGAGAGGTTTCAAAGTACAAATAAACTTGAAAGCGCTCAGGAGGCGAGCTTACCTTAACTCGGAGGGAGCCATTTTTCAGAGTTTTGAGAACTTGTGGTTTGGACACTTCTGGACCTAAAATTGACAGTTTGAATGACCAGGCGGCACACGTAGCCTGCAAAAGAGTCAAATGGAGTCCAGCGTCAGTGAGATTATATGTTATGTGGTATATAATGTTGGATGTCAACTCCCCAAAACCATAAAACTTACTTTAATGGCCCCACGTGACGTTTTATAGCCAGTGAGCCGATCTGTCTGTGCTATGGATGATTTTACGATCTAATTCATAGACAAAACCCTATTCATTTGGCACCCAAATGTCATATAGCCGGAACTGGGGCTTATAAAGTTTACTGTTTTATAACTTTTAAAAGGAAAGACGGCATCAGTGTAAGCAGTCGGTAAATGTGCAAATCTCTAGTTGCGCTTTAGCTGCTCTGAGGAGTTTCCCAATCGAGCTAGGATGGGGTAAGTACCTTCCATTTGTAGCAAATTAATCGTAGCAAAAGAAGCCAACTGGGTTCAGGGCGATGATTGGGGAAGGGATGCTGGCCTGGGTTAGGGGCAGGGGATTTGGGGGTCTACAGCCTGGCATAACAACCTCTTCAACCAGTGGAGGCCTAGGACAGCCTCAGGAAAGAGGCAGGATCTGTGTGGCCCTGAGGGTGGTAACAAAGCCCTGGGCCTTTTTCCGTCTTTCTCTCTCTTCCTCACACTTTTTTGTGCCCAGTGAATTAACCTGGTTTCCTCAGAGATGGGCAGAGTGGACTCAAACTTTGGAACCACCTATAACTTTTGGCCCTGAACTTTGTGATGACTCAGAGTTTAGGGAGGCGATGGGTCAGGGTATTGGCCTGAGGTCTCCCTGCACAGGCCTTCTGTTCAGGTAATCTCAGACTCACTGGCTTCCAGGACTGGACAGACAGACAGAAAGGCAGACAGAGCCGCTAGCTATTTGGCACAAACCAGACCAAGAGAAACTTACGATAGAAAGTTTATTTTTTGTTTCCAGTCAGTATTTTTTCCTTAAAAACAAATACCAAAAAAAAAAAAAAAAAAAAAGAGCTGATCACAGTTTGCTTAAACAGCCAGACTTGGACAATATTTGTAACTTTGTTCACAAAAACATACATCACTGAAGCTGCGCTTATAAGAGCCACTTCCAGAGTTCGTGCAAAGGGTCCTACAAAGGCACGCAGGGACACACCGCTTGGAGTCACAGTTTTCGTCACAGAGTCACTAGTCACTACACGTCGAACAAGTTAAGTTGTGTCTCATCAAGTCACCTCTACAACAGCATTAATTACACAAGGAATATAGGTAGTTTGAATAAAAATATTTTTAACAGCTTGGAGCTATTGAGACAGGAACACTTCCACGCACATGCACAGTTAAACAACTCGAGTGCAACACACAACATTGGCACTAAACGAGATTGAAGGGGGGGCTTTTTGTGTGTTTTTTTCTCTTATTTGTTATAGTTACTTCAAGTAACACAGCTTGCTTCATATAAATAAGTTAAAACATCTATTTTTTTTCAAGACAAAGCCATTCAGGACAAAGAGATGAACAGAAAGCAGATCTACTTATACAGACGCTATAATGGCAATAAACAGGCTCATGATTAAAAGATGAATTAGGGCAACGAGAACAGAGCTTCTTCACAGAAGGAACACAGGGGAGTTTCAGAAAGTCACCTTAGTACTGACACTATGCGGGATCCGCTAATACTGCTCAGTACTTTATATGCTCAAACACTCAGGGGCGGAAGGCCCCTCCCGCCGCAGCCATGCTCATGCTTTTCAGCTTATTATCTTTTTTCCACTTCATTCTCCGGTTTTGGAACCAGATTTTAATTTGTCTCTCCGAGAGGCAAAGAGCATGTGCTATTTCAATCCTTCTTCGGCGGGTCAGGTAGCGGTTGAAGTGGAACTCCTTCTCCAGCTCCAGGGTCTGGTAGCGTGTGTAGGCCGTCCGGGCCCTTTTGCCTTCCGGGCCGCCTATATTGTCTGCAACAGAAAAGTCAGCCATTTAGCCACCAACTCCTCAGCCCCTGGCTTCCAAAGTCCGCCAGCTGGGCAAGCCAGGGTCCTGAGGAGGGAACAGGGCGAAAGGCTCAACAAGTCCTCCTTCCCTGCCTACCCACCCCTCCCCAATTTCCTTCCCTCTTCCTTTCTAGAAAGAAAACAATCCGATTTGGACTCTGGGAACTATCGGCCCATCTGAGGCTGAAGCCACGTCCCGGAGGACCGCCCGGCTTTCTCTGGCCCTTCTCCTGCCCTTTGGCCCTGTCCTGGGCTTCCCGAGCCGGGGACACAGCCCTCTCAGACTGCCCACAGCTCAGAAGCCCAGTGAAGCACGGCCCTTTTCTGAGCGTCCCAGTGGCCTCCAGGTCACCTTTCCCTAAAGTTCCAGCTCCGCGAGCCGCCTCCTATTCCAGTCTGCATGCCTGGGACGCTTGCTTTCTTTTTCTTCCTTTTCCTTCTCTCTCCCTCCTGCTCCCAAACTTCAGAATCCCGCCGGCTCTCGCCTGGATTATTCCCCCATAAGCCTCTTTTCGGGGGCTCTAATTAGTAACGCTGTTTCCCCAGCGTAGCCCTCCTCATAAATTATCCACCCTGACAAGCCCGATTCACGGCTCCTACTGCCATCCTCTACCTCTCTGAGCCCTGCTCGGATGGCCTGACCCGGGAACGCAATTCCAAGGCGCTGGGGTTCCAGATAGGTTTTCTCCCTTCCTCCCCCTTTCGACCTCTTAACTTGCCCAACCAGGGACCATTTCTCCCACTATTTGTGGTGCAGGGTGCTGCAAAGAAGAGGAGGAGGAAGGAGGAAGGCAGGGGAAGGAGAACAACAGGGACAGGCTCCGCAGGGCTAAGAAAAGCGAGACCAGGAGAAAGACAGGGAGAGAGGGCGGCGAGGGAGAGGGGAGAGAGGGAACCGAGAGCTGCGTTTCCGCGGCCGCGTGGATTTAGAAAAAGGTTGGCTTTACCATGACTTATGTGCAGCTTGCGCATCCAGGGGTAGATCTGGGGTTGGGCGGGCGGCGCCGGGCTCGGCTCGCTTTGCGCACTCGCCTGCTCGCTGCTGGCAGGGGCATCCTCCTCGGCTCCGGACGCCGTGCCAACCCCATCTCTGCTGCTGATGTGGGTGCTGCCCGCGTTGGCGGAGGTGCCGCTGGAGTTGCCAAGGGAGTTTTTCCCGCCGTGGTGGCTGTCGCTGCCGGGCGAAGGGGCCACGGCGGAGCAGGGCAGAGGGTCAGGCGGAGGCGAGTGCGTGGATGTGGCCGGCTGGCTGTACCTGGGCTCGGCGGGCGCCGTGCTGGCGCCAGCCGCGTAGCTGCGGGCGCGCTCTCCGGAGCCAAAGTGGCCGGAGCCCGAGCGGCCGACGCTGAGATCCATGCCATTGTAGCCGTAGCCGTACCTGCCGGAATGCATGCTCGCCGAGTCCCTGAATTGCTCGCTCACGGAACTATGATCTCCATAATTATGCAACTGGTAGTCCGGGCCATTTGGATAGCGACCGCAAAATGAGTTTACAAAATAAGAGCTCATTTGTTTTTTGATATGTGTGCTTGATTTGTGGCTCGCGGTCGTTTGTGCGTCTATAGCACCCTTGCACAATTTATGATGAATTATGGAAATGACTGGGACATGTACTTGGTTCCCTCCTACGTAGGCACCCAAATATGGGGTACGACTTCGAATCACGTGCTTTTGTTGTCCAGTCGTAAATCCTGCCTGATGACCTCTAGAGGTAAACTCGTGCACTAATGGGGGAGTTGGGTGGAGGCGAGTAGGGTGGCGCGCGCACCCTGGGCGCGTGCCCGCCGCCCGTCGCAGCTGTTCAGTCGGACTCGAGCGCCACCCGCTGGAAGCATGACTCATCGCCCCGCTTCCGACCCAGGGCTGCAAGGGCCGGGGTCGAATTGAGGTTACAGCCCATTATGGCAAAATTATTGCATTTCCCTCGCAGTTCCATTAGGATGTACCAATTGTTAGGCCGTCAGCTGCCGATCGCGCGCCCGGCGAGGATGCAAAGGATTGGGGGGAGGAGGTGACTTGCATTTTATTTACAACTTTATTCCCCCTTCTCCCCTGCTTTGCAGCCCATCTTATTTTTGTGTCGAGGTTGGGGTCGGTTCTGCCTGTTCTGCCGGCAGCTCTGAATTTTGAAAATACAGATCTCACCTTCGGAAACGGGAGGGGGAAGGCATTTAACCAATTGGAGAAATAAATTCTGCCCGCAGCAGCAGCTACAATTACGGCTCTGTTTTTGCAAGCGTATGAGGGGACAGTGTCCCTGCCGCTCTTAAATGACAGGCGTCTATTAAAGACAGCTTTTGTGTAGTGTTCCTTCGAGGCGAGGTCAAATTCCATACACTTTCATAGCGGTAGCCGATTTTTCTTTCGTGTAAATATGGTTTTCGTGTCATTAGTTTGCTATTTGATTTGCTTACATATCCAGCCTGTAGAATCTTCACCACAGGGTCTCTTTCCTCCAGCCAGCCAGGCTCCAAGTCGGAGGGTTCCCGGTGAACCCAGCGAGTGGGCCCGGGCTCCCCGCACAGCCCCAAAGGCTGCTTGGGGCCTGGGGATTCATGGCCCAAGTTATTGGGGGCTTGCATAGACCTCCAGGAGTAAAATGAGGGAGCTAATGGAAGCATTTCGTGGCAGTGCCCAGTATCTCTGTAGTTGTTTTCCTGGGCTCCGAAAGACGAAAGTAAATCACAAGAATATCTGAGAGACAGGAGGAGTCTCCTGGCTGGAGGCCCATCCTCGCAGGCACTCCTGGCACGTGTGGAAGCCTGGATTCTATCCTCTCCCATGGCCCTGGGCCCCTTCGTTGGGTCCTGGAAGTGTCTGTGGTGGTGATGCGGGGCGCTGTCAGAGGCAGGGAGCCCGGATCCCGAGCCCAGAGCCTGAAAGAGCCCAGTCGCTCCACTGACTATTATGTTCCACCCGCGCCCAGGTTAGCTGGACTCTGCTGAGGCTGCTTCTATTCCACTGACGGTTGTGCGCGGGGTGAGAGAGTTGTCCCTGTTGGGGCCCCCTTTGTTCCACAAGTTTCTTCGTGTTTGGGGGCGGCCTGGAGGCCGTGACAAAGCTGGGGCCTCAGCCCTTAGGACTCCTCTTTCCAGTGGCCAGAGATGATTTGGTGATGCCCTTCGGGACTCACTGGCAGGGACTGAGGCGTAGACGCCCAGGCAGGAAATGGGGCTTGGCCCAGCAATCCCGCATTCCCTAGCTACCCCGCGTTCCCCGCTCTGGGATCGCTGAGACACTAGCAGAGGAGCCTGGGGGAATTCGGGGCGCATCCAGGAACCCCGGGGCCTGTTTGGGCAGTTGTGAAGCGGGACTGTGTGTGTACAGTGCGCCCCGTTTCGCTGTTGGTATTTGCTGTGTGCAGGGGTTTTTGTTTTGTTTTGTTTTGTTTGTAAGAAATAAATAATCAGGCGTTCCAGGCTCTTCTGAAGCTGCGGAAGCCCCCGATGGGAGCAGGCTGGGGGTGGGGGGAAGTTGGGGAGCAGGCGAGCGCGAGTGGCAAAGCCGAGAAAGGTTGCTCCGCTGGCCTGGTCCCTGCCTGGGGTCTACTCGCCCGCCTTTGCCTCAGAGTCCTCCCCGCCGGGCTGCGTGGAATTGATGAGTTTATTTTCCTTTTTCCACTTCATGCGGCGGTTCTGGAACCAGATCTTGATCTGGCGTTCGGTGAGGCAGAGCGCGTTGGCGATCTCGATGCGGCGGCGCCGCGTCAGGTACCGGTTGAAGTGGAACTCCTTCTCCAGCTCCAGCGTCTGGTAGCGTGTGTAGGTCTGGCGGCCTCGGCGCCCATGGCTCCCGTACACAGCACCTGCAGGCAGAAATGGCCGAGCACCCATAAACCAGGATCTGGACAGCCGACTCAGCCCCATGCCTCCCACCAGGGGCCTATTTCAGCCTCTCACACTACATCTGGGGCTAAAAGGGGAGACTCCAGGGGAGAAGATTATTTCATACTAAGAGAGCTGTTTTCCATCTAGAACAACTTGGGGTGGGGAATTATTGTTTTTGAAAAATCTGCCTCTTAGGAAAACTATTATGAGGGAAATAATAGAAAGGGCATTCTTAATTTGGGACATCAAACTCCTGTTTTATGGGAGTGTGGTGTATGGTGACTGAGGGTGGGTGCTGTGGAGCCCTGTGAGTCATATACACACTCTGAATTCATACACTGATCTCTGAGAGGATGCCTCTGTGGCCAGCCATGTCAGAACTCAAGATACTTTTTTGAAAATTAAAAATGGTCAGCCCTCTCAAATAGATAATCCCCCAAATTATGTGACCCTCTGAGAAATGCAGCGCTCCTCTCTCTCTCTCTCTCTCTCTCTCACACACACACACACAATGCAAAACATTATCTGATTTAAAATCCACATTAGGATCTGTCCTGCTCCAAGGAAAAAGGGAGATTCCCTATGGAGTCTTTGGAAACCAGGGGCAAAGAGATGGAGCTAAGGACAGTCTGGGGTTCCTGGAAATGTAGGACTGTGTTGGGCTGTCCCATCTGGTCCCAAAGGGGCCCAGGGATAGTACCGCCCAAGACAGGTGTGTGAGGCTCAGGCAGGGGCTCAGAAGAAGGCAGAAGTTGGCAAGGAGTGAGCTGTTCAGGGGAACTGGGAGGAGGGAAAGGAGGAAGGAGAAAAAATCCTGAGGCTGGGAATGTGGCCCCCCAAGGCTTTGGGGAGACACTGGAAGAGGCCAAATGGGGACCTCTCCCTGTATGAGTTTCTGAAGGGCAGAAATGAGAGGAGGCTGGGAGGTGAAGGGGAGTTATCTATGATGTGTGCAGAGGCCCTCTGGCTTTGGAACCTGAGCAGGGTGTTACCAGGGTGCAGCGTGGGCAGGCTTTCCCTCCCAAACCGCCTCCCTCTATCTTCAGGGTGCCTCTGTCATGGGTCTCCGTCTGGTGGCAGTGATTCCACCACCCTCCCCTAAGGTGTCACCTTACACAGGCATTAGTGCCTTGCCCTTCCTCTGCCATGGCCTGAATGCCACATTGTGAATGGATTTTTTCTTTAAAAAAAAAATCTTTTGAAAATCCAAAGAAACTTTGCTCATTCTTTCCTCTTTCTCTATTCCTTTTTCAACTTTCTTACTTTTCTGCTTCCTCCTTCCTTCCTTCTTTTCCTCCCCCTCCACTGTCTTGGTGGGGGGAGGTGTGCAGGGAAATGCCTTACCCGTGCAGGAGTTCATCCGCTGCATCCAAGGATAAACGGGGCTTGTGTACTTCCGGTCGGCGCCTTCGTCATGGAGGGCTTTGCCCTGCACGCTGCTGCTGTCGGGTTTGTACTGCTGCTCGGGAGAAAAGTGCAGGTAGTCCCCGGGGCCCCTCTGCTTGCCACTGCCCGAGGGCGAGGCGCCACTGAGGTCTTTATCAGAATAGAAACACGAGGCCCCGTACTCGTAGGACGCCCGGTTGCAGGCCAGGACCGAGTTGGACTGTTGGTAGAAACAAGGTGAGGTGTACGTCTTGTCCGGGAGGCTCGACGCCCCGTAGGAGGCCGGGAAGGGCCTCAGCGCGTCATAGCCGGCCTGGTAGAGGGGCAGCTGGCCCAAGAAGGAGTCTTGGCCGCTGGGCAGGCTCCCGGGGAAAGTGGGATTCACAAAATAGGAACTCATTTGCTCGCCCCTCTGCAGGACTGTGATTTGTTGTGTATTAGTACATCTGGCTATAACTATTAGTAGTCATCGAACTGGTTTGTTTCTGGATGGCCGAACGCCAAAAGCGACAGCAGCAAATCGCACCAGCTGACGCGGCGGCGGCCAATGGGAGCGAGCGCCGGAGCCCGCTCCCCGGGGACCGCGGCGACCGAGGCAGCAAAGTTACAAACAGCCCCCAGCCCGCCCGCCCGCCGCCCGCCCGGCAGATTAATGGGCGCACACAGCCAGCCGGCCCGGCTCTCCTCCCGAACGCCAGCGGCGGGCATGGTCACTGAAGGGGCGTGCAGATCAAGCCGGGTAGGGGCACTAGTGCCCCGGCCTCCACCAAGGCCCCTCCAGACCCTCTTTTTCCTCCTTCCCTTTATGCTTTGTTGGATTTTGCTGTTTCCTCCCTTCAAACAGGAAACCTGACGGTCCCATCCAGGAGGAAAAGTGACAAGGGTGGCTTTACTCCCTACTGACCCGCCTTCCTTGCATGGCCGAGTTGCCTTTCCCCTTGCACTCCCCTACTCTTGGGTGCGTATTTCTGAGCTGAAGAAGGGTCCCCAAGAAATCAAGGCTTCACGCATTGCCCTTAATCCTGCACCTTAGGAATTGGTGGACCCCCCCCCTTCTTCTCTCCTTCCTCACTTTCACCAGGGGCCTGGGCCTTGCAGTCAAGAGCCAAATGTTCGCCTGGAGTTCACCAGGACTCAGCCAAATGTAGGCTCATAGCCTCCAGTACCCATCTCCCACATACCCGTTTTATTTTGAGTCCCAGGGTACCTCTGCAATGGCCTCTGAATGTCCTGCCTCAAAGCATCCTCTCCGGTTGGGCACCCTTATCTCACCCTTGAGCCCAGAGACGGAGAGGACAGAAACCACTAGTTTCAAGGAAAAAGAATGGACAGAGGAACATCTGTGAGACTGGGCTCTGAAGCCAGCTTTGGGACCTGCTCCCCTTGCCCAGTACTCCGGCACTCAGGCTCAGGACTCTCCATTTGCTGCCTGAACTGCTCAGAGCTGATACAGATTAAAATCCAGTTGTGGAATATTTATGCTCTTATTCCAGAGGTGCATAAGATGCAGGGCTCCTGGCCAAGCTATGGTACAGAGGACAACACAGAGGGGCCCAAGGACAGGGGGTTAAAATTGATGAGCTTGGTTTCTGGGGCCTGGACAGTCAGCACTGTCCTGGGGTGCTCCCTGTTTACTGCCTTTCTTGGGACTTCTCTGAGGGCTGCAACCCACAGTTGCTCCAGAATCGGCAATAGTTATCTCACTGGATCCAGAAATCCTGAATTGCCTTTACCGCCGCCGTTCCAGGCCTGGCTGTCCCCAGATATCACGTGAAAAGCCTGTCCTGGGCTGCTCTCTCTTGCCTGAGACGGGTGCCTTCCAGATAGCTGACTTTTTACAGCACAGGGATCAATCTCTCGTTTTGTAAAATGTGATATCGTCCCAATGGCATTTTTATGACTGTGTTTGTTGAGCTTGTAAAATCCCTGAATTAGCTTTAAAATCCTCAGTTCTGTGGAGGTCGAAGAAATACTATTTATACTACTTGGTTGGATATCTGGAGACTGTTTATAAGATCTGTAAACCGCTGGCCAATGCAGGCTGTTCAGTGCTTAGTGGGGGAGGTGGCAATTGACAATGATCCCTTAGGAATCTGGTTACGACTTAATCTCTTTCTTGCTTTTCGATTTTTTTATTTCCTAATCTCCCTTCCCCCAAAGGGAAAAAATTGGGAAAGGACTGCCCTAAGGTCCATCTCCACCCAGGAGGGCACCCTAGAAGGTGGTTGCCTGTCTGCAAATGGGTGCTGCACCTGTAAGCTTTGTGCCTGAGCCCCAGTCAATCCATTCGGAAAGGGCCTGAAAGGTGAGGATAGAATCTGACATTTCCCTCATGTTTCTTTAGGAGAAAGATTTAAGAGGTGAAAATGAGAACTCCAAAGTCAAAAAATAAACAGAGAATTTTTAAAAACTGAAGAAAATCATGTTTGAGTTATTTTTCAGACTGATTACCTGCTAGTTATTAAGATAAAAACGACTGTTTGGGGAGTGCTGATAAATGTTTACATTTATATTTTTCTTTTGTTTCTCCACATCCCACACAGAGTTGGGAGTGGTGTCAGTTTTTTATTATTCGTTATGGCCTGGATTTTTTAATCTACTAATTGTCCCAGCCAATGAGAGAATTTGACTTCTCAGCTTAAGAGGAAGAAAATACTTTATTTCTTAGCTTCTGTAGGCACTAAGATGGAAAAACATAACATTAAATTGAAATCTTTATGTGTTGGCCAAGCTAGTCCATATCATGTTGGCAGCTGACCAATTTATTTCTCCAACCAGCTATGTATATAGAGGGGCGGGGTGAAGGATATATTCAGACAAGAGAACGAGCCCCAGACCCTCCTCAGAGCCTTTCTGGAATGGTGAGACTGGCGGACCCTGGACTCTTCTCTGTCAAAGCCACACATAAAGCCGACTTACCTTTCAGCTTCTCTCCAAGGGGGGCAGAATGTCGAGCAGGGCCCCACAGTCTGTCCTTGCTCTGGGCTGCCCATTGAGCTCCTCAACCTCTTCCGCCAGCCTAAAGCAAGGCCTGGGGGTATGTGGGTGTGGGACTTCAAAGGCCACCGCAGTCCGGCCAGATCGCTAGTCCAGGCCAGAGCCCAAAGCACACAGGTGCAGCCTCTGCCCATCACAGGCCCTCTACTGGAGCCAAAGCACGCCTTCCTTGCCATAGCCAGTACTCCTCAGGGCCAGCCAGGCCTGCAGGCCTCGGGACTACAAGTGGTCTCTCCGATTTCAGAATCCCAAAGCCAGAGCATTCCCCGAACCAGCATGTGCCCCCAAGGCGTCTTGGGACGCTCAGTTTGGACAGAAGCAGCCATGACGTGCCAGGCGGCCTGTGCAACCAGTCTCCATGGTGCTGGGATGGGGGTTGGGGGAGGACCCGTGTCTATTCCGGCTTCCAGCTCCTGTCAGGGGTGGCCGAGGCGGGGAGATTCCTGGCCAAATAGGCCCTAGGAGACCGCCCCCCAGGTCCCCTTTTGTCCCCCTCTCCCCTGCCTGCTGGTAAATCTCTGAGGGACCAATACAGCAGTCGCGCCAGGCAGCAAGAAGCGAGCTGCGGCTGGCGCCGGTCCCCGCAATGGCCACAGCGTGGCAGCAGCGAGCGCCCTGCACGGCCGCAATAAATAATCTGCCCGCGGCAGCTGCAGTCTGGAAGCCAGCGGCCCTAGGATGCAAATGCGCCGCTTTATCAGCCCAAAGCGCACCCAGGGCACTGATGAAAGTCCCAAACATCCACAGCCCCTTCTTAAATATCTAATGCCTACCAAAATAATACCTCAAGATAGGAAACAATGATCATAACACAACAAACAAACAAAACATCCAAACAGTACTCGAGCCCCAAACCTGGGATCTTTTCTTGTCTCTGTCCCAGCAGTTTCCAGGGCAAATCTGGTCAATGAGCACCTAGGCCAAGCTACAGTTTGTGCCATCATGCTATGCAAAGCCACTGCCAGCTGCACCCTTCATGCCTTCTCCCAGGCAGCTCCACAGTCCTGTCCCCCTTCGCGGGAGGTGGGGAATGCGATCGCCAGTCTGCAGTTCCGAGATGGGTTGGGAGGCGGTCCCCCTATCGCCTAGACTCGGTTTGAGTCCTTTCTTCAAGCTTAGCTGCGGGCCCCTGCCACCGCGCTAAAATGGCCACAACGTCTTTTACACGGAAACTTCCCGCCAATAACACCCAGCCAATTAACCCCATCCTCTCCTCCAACACAGAATTTCAACCACGCACCTAGTCCCTCTCTCAACGCATCGGACACCTCTCTCATCCAAGAACTCTGCGAAAGGAAGCAAGCGATCAGCAGCAGAGACCCTTGGCTGAATTAGTAAGTTTTTGTTTTTCCCGGTTCTACCTGTCTCTTCCCAAAACCAATTCCCACGGAATAGAGGTGTTTGCTGATGTTAATAAAACGCCTATGGATTAACGCACTTTGTCCTCACCTCTTCCCACATTCCCAGGTCGGGAATTGTCTCCTGTTGGGGCATTTAGTCAAACCACTTGGGCCATGAATTAAAAAAATTAAAATGCAAACCCAAAAGACTAGTGGGGAACCCGGAGTACAAGGTCACTTCTTTTTAGGGATTCCCGGGGTCTTTAGGGAAGGTGGGGGGGGGGGATCCAAGAGATGCTGCCCTGTGCCAGGGCGCTGTGTCACGGAAAGAAGGCAGGCATTTAACTGCCACGGTGCTCCAGGAATAGGAGAGAGAGAGAAAGAGTGGTGTGTGTGTGTGTGTTGGGGGTGGGGGGGGGTACTTGGGCTGTAGTAGATGAGGATAGGAACAAGTGTGAATGAGTGAATATGGATGACAGTAGCTATGCCCCTCTTCAAAGACACCCCGTACCCTCTCCCACCGCTCCCGCAGCCGGCTGTCACCTCACCACCTTAGCTCCTGTCTCCTCCCTAAATGTCTCACCTTCAGATGCCGACTCCCAGAAGCTCCTTCTCCTCTGACAGCTGTCTCTTGGGCAGCCCGGGAGACGAATTGTCCTCCTTCCTGGTGCCAGAGGACGCAGGAAATTAGCCAGGTGCCGACTTGCAAAGCTGCCGCCTCGGCGCCGGGAATTGGGCGCGCCCCACCTCCAGCGGGAGCCGCCAGGCCTGGCCTGGCCGGGGCTTCCCCTCGTTCGCCATCGCCGGACAAAGCGCAGCTGAGCCGGGCTGGAAGGCAGAGCTCCGAAGCAGGCAGGACAGAGCGGAGCAAAAGAATGCGGCTCTATTCTCGCAAGGGAAATTATAAAAAAGTTCATGTTCACGGTTCCCATCCACATGACCGACAGCGGCCAATGGAAGGGCCGAACAACTCATAAAGTTGTATTGCAAAGTTGTAAATTTTCATAAACAACAACGGATTTATGACCCTTTCCCCATCACTGAGAGGAGGCAGCTCTTACACCGGCGCCATCTTACCTCGGAGGCCGCCCCGATTTGGGGCCGCAGGTTTTACAGACCCTTTTGGGCCTTTTATTAAAAGAGCCTTAAGAAGAGGGGCCAACTCAGGCTGGAGAGTGGAGTCTGGGTCTTGCCGGCCTAAGCTCAGGATGCGCTGAGCTGCTACCCAGCGCCTCTAGCACCTCGCCCCTTCCCGCACCCAGAGACCCCTGCCGAGGTTGCGCAGCCCAGCCGGGGGTCTACCGCCCTGCCCCTCCCCTCACCCCTTTGCGGTAGTGCTGGGGCCCTAGCCCTGGGAGTTGGGGGGTTGCGGCAGAGGCCTTAAATCCCATTTCCTAGCTTAGGGCCAGGTTCGGGGCTTATGCAGAATCCAGAATTAGTAGCAAGATCACTCCACAGCCTAGAGGAAAGAGGGATGCATTTGGAATTTTCACATGACATTTATGGAAGTTTTTAGGGAGGTTCATAGAATATGATGTATCTACCAGAAGATACATCTAGAAAATGCTTGTGCAAACACAAAAACCAGACAAAAAGTGTCTACACAGAGAAAGGCACACATACAATTATGGACACACAGAAACATACACGATTATGGAATTAAATAAAAACCCACACAGTCATACCCAGAAATACATACATACAAAAAATAGTCACATACCAGTACAATTCCACACATAAAAATACATAAAAAGACATGACACATATACACCAGTATATGAGCTTCCAGTGCTTGGACCCAAGGATAGTCATTTCCATTTTTGCTTCCTGATGGCCACTTTGTGCTTACAGATATAGCCAGGGCTTGCCCTCCAGCCATGCTGCTCACACTCCTTTCCCCAGACCCTTCCAGATAAAGCAATCCATGCTTTTCTTTGTCACCAAGCATCTTTATTTTTCTGTTACATAAAACACGGTTAGCTGGGCGGGGAGGCTTGCCTTCCCTGATCCCCAGGGTGGAGTTGAGGGGGGACACAAGACAACACAGGAGATGAAGGGCACTGAGGAAGGCATTAGACCTCCCCACCCACTACAGAGTTAGCTCAAGACAACACACCATGCTACAAAGTCACCCCGTTAACACATTCTTCTGAGTCAAGACATTGCCTTACAAATGAACTCCAATACTATAGAAATGAAAAAAAAATCTTGTTCAAATATACAGTATTTGCTATTGTAGGAAAGACAGGGTGTACATATTTGATATAGCGGAACAGTAGGACACTGGGGCCAGAGGAGATGACAGCAAAGCTGGGACCATCTCCATAGTCCTACTAAGCAGAAGCGAACCCAGAGGTATGCAGCTAGCTCAGGAACGCTCCCCTCCAGAAGTGGAGGGTGATAGTCCTGAACCTCGGGTGCCAAGCCAGAGAAGGAGGGATTCTATGTTGCAGCACTTAGAATGCTTTGGAATAAATATATTATTTTTCAATTTAAATAGAAGCCAATGCCCTGGTCCCTGGACCCAAGCGCATTCTCAGAGTAGCCTCAAGGACTCCAAAGGCTGTCCACTATAAGCAGCAGAAGCCTGGCCTGTGAGGGGCTGGCACTAGGTAGCAGGCAAGCCAGCCAGCACAAAATAGGTAGTTTGGGGGGAGTAGGTAGTACTGAGAGTCATGTTCTTTAGGGCATAGTGGGTGGTGCTGGGTATCTGCCAGTGTAGGGACACGTCCAGGCTTCCTGGGATTGAAGGCCCTCAGGGGCTTGGCCCATAGGTAGTTTGGGGTGCCTCTCGCTGAGGCCTGTGCTAGGTAGTATTTTGGCCACGCCAGTGAAGGGCTGGCTGACCTGGGATTGGGGGTGTCTGTTGGGATCCTCAGAAGCAGAGGAAATCACCAAGGCGACCCAGTCTTGGTAGCCACTCAGCCCAAAAATGTTGGGAGCTGGAGTGGGGTGGAGTGCAGGTTGGGAACTAGGGTGGGTTTTTTTTTTTCTTTTTACATTTTCTTTTTATTTCTCCCACATTTGTAAATAAAACCAATGAGTCTCTTAAAGACGCTTTTCTGACTGTCCGGTGTAATGAGGGTCCCCAGCTAGGCCCCTCATTCTTCCTCCTCGTCGTCCTCCTCTTCGTTGTCCTCATCGTCAGCCTTGTCGGTAGCAGCGGCAGTAGCAGAGGGCACGGGACCCTCGGGGGCAGCCGGACCCTCTTCTTTATGTTCTTTCTTCCACTTCATGCGGCGGTTCTGGAACCAGATCTTGATCTGGCGCTCGGTGAGGCAGAGCGCATGGGCGATCTCGATGCGGCGGCGCCGCGTCAGGTAGCGGTTGAAGTGGAACTCCTTCTCCAGCTCCAGCGTCTGGTAGCGCGTATAGGTCTGGCGTCCCCGCTTCCTGTCAGGTCCTGAGAGGAGACATGTAGACACACAGACACATGGAGAAACACGCAGACAGGACAAGGCATTAACCAGGTTACTGCTTCAGCGCCTGACCTTTCTCCCGGGTAGTCCCAGGCACTCATCCCCCTCTCTCCTGGTGCCCTGAAACTGAGCTGGGGGAGGAGGGGAAATGTTAGAGGGATACCCCAAGTACAGTGCCAGACACAGGCAGCTCGGTATTGAGCAAAGGTGCAGAATCCCAACTTTACAATCGCCCTTTCCAGCCGGCTAAGCTTCCACAATGTCCTGCTTCCCCCTGACAAAGGCAAATTGTAAATACAAATGGGAGATGCTGCACTTTTGCCATTCAAAAGCGAGCCCCACCGTTTCCTTGCTTTACTAGGCAAGTGGGCAAACAGCCTGCGCCCCTGTTCTTTAGACCTTCCTAAGGCAGTCGGACCCTCCCAGTCTCCCTCTTGAAATGGCCCCTGGCACAGGGGTAGTTTCGGGGCCCTAGAGGGCTTGGTCTCTCAGTTTTTAAGGTAGAAAAGCTGAGCAAAAAAGAAATAAGAGGAGGAGGAGAGAGAAGAAAGGGAGGGAGAGAGACAGAGGGGGCAGACAGGAGATGAAGAGAGAACTTAATGTTAAAATTCCAAGGCAAATGAAGTTAAATAAATTTACGAGGATCGAACCCATTAATTGGGCCATAAAAAGTTTTATGAGCCTCATTTACATACAATGCTATGAGCTCCACGCAATGGCGCCCTGGCTCTAATTAAAACCAGAAAGGCTGCGCCGCCGGGAGTCACTGGGGCTGCCGGCTCGCTCGCAGCTGCCTGGTTCCGCTGGCCCCGCGACCCGCGCCCTCAAGCGCCGGCGCTCCCCGCTCCCGGTCCGCCAACCCGCCCGGCCCGTCTAGCGGAAGCGCCTACCTGAAGACCGCATCCAAGGGTAGATGCGGAAATTGGCCTCGGCAGGGCCGTGTAGCGTGCCCTCGTCCGCCTTGTCGCAGGCGCCTTTGGCGAGGTCACCGCAAAGCCCGGGGATGTTTTGGTCGTAGGAGGCGCAGGGCAGGTTGCCGTAGGCGTCGGCACCCAGGCCGTAGCCAGACGCAAAAGGGCTCTGATAAAGGGGGCTGTTGACATTGTACAAGCCCGGTACGGTCGAGGCGAAGGCGCCAGTGCCCGCCCCGTAGCCGCTTCTCTGCGAGTTGGGCGCAAAGGAGCAAGAAGTCGGCTCGGCATTTTGGAACAGAGAAGCCCCCGCCGTATATTTGCTAAAAAGCGCGTTCACATAATACGAAGAACTCATAATTTTGACCTGTGATTTGTTGTCCGGCAGCTTTCAGTGTCGGTTTTACGAGGTAGCTTGATATATGATAACATTACACCCCCAGATTTACACCAAACCCCATTTTCTTTTGGACGGAGCTCGCCGCAGCACGTGATCGCCCACATGACCGCCTCCGCCAATCTCAGCAGCCCTCACAGGTGGTCTCGCTCCGCTGGGCCCGCGGCTGCCTAGAATGGAAGGGGAAGAGGCTCAAATATGCGGCCGATGAATCTGCCAGCCTCCAGCCGGGCTACTGTGCCCCGCGGAAAAGGAGCCCGAAGGCTTCACCGGAGCGCCCATCTGGCAGCCAACTCAGGCGCTGAGGCCTATGGCCACTGAGCAGAGCCGGTCAGAGCAGCGTCCTCATGCCTGTTAGTGAACCTCAGACCAAGCTGTAGACTCCCCTGTCCCTTTCCCGTCTCCTTACCCAGCCGCTGCACAGCTCGAATCCGCCTACCCCACGATGGCCTTGTGGGCAGATCTCAGCTATTTGCCCACTTCTCCCCTCATTCAGGCCCAGTGGGCGAAAGGCCTGACTTAAACTCTGATTCAGACGAGGCGGGCGCAGCGTCACTTGAGCTGCAGCGAGAATGCCACCGCAAACTGGAACCATGTGGTTCAAATAAAGTCAACAGTCTCCAAGCTTCCTTTCCTTAATCGGTGGCACACTATTCATCCGCCCTAAAGGAAGCAGTGAAATATTTATCTATTAATGAGCCTCATTTGCCAACAGATTTATTAACATGGGGTTTTCCTCCCTCCTCCTGGACACTATGGAGCTGAAGGCTGTGTTCTTGACTCCTGGGCACCTGGCTGGTCTAGGGCAGCTGGATAAATGGATGAACGTGCTTTGTCCTTCCCACAACCCTGGTTCTCTCTGGCTCAAGTGAGCCAGGTCTCTTTCCCCCAACTCTGAGGAACCCCAGGATGCACTTTTGAGGCACTCCCTAGCCATGGTTTTTGGCATCCTTCACCCCAGCTACCCCTAGACCTCCACCTTGTGGGACTGGGTGCCTGGGAATATATACACTTTGGAGCCCATTTGGAGAATAGAGAGGAGGCCCTGGTTCCCACAGTGGACTCCCATTTCCGTGGGGGCTCCTCCCCAAAGGCCACTCAGCTCTGGAGGCATCACCTTTCCAAGTACCACTTGCAGAGAGCTTAGGGCCCAGTAGTCTCACTCCTTCCCACCCAGGCCTCCAACTCCTACCTTCCCAGGCCTTGGACCCTTGCACAAAGTTGGACCAGCTGAAGTCCCTGCCACCCACTGCTCTGTGCAGGATGGTAGGGAGAACCATTCCCCTAATCGCCTCATAAACTGCCCAGGCCTCAGTGGAAGCCCAGCCATCTTTTACTGCCCAGCTCGATTGCTCACCATAAACCTGATTTCACAATGGAATTGCCCCGGAAATTCTCTAAATTATAGAGTTTGTTTCCTTGTGTACAAAGCACTTCCCATCACTTCCAGAGGGTTCAGCCACCCTTATTTACCGCACTCTCTCAGGGGGTCTCCAGAGCACAAAAGGTAGAGGGAGGGTTCAAATCTGAATGCTACCGGAGCCCCAGCTTCTTCTGTGGTGAACGGCCTAGGTTTTTGCATGGGGAGGAAGGGGCTACTGGGGTAGGTGGGTGCTGGGCAGTCTCCCTTGGAGATAGTGGAGCCCTGGCGGGGGGCAGTATCCGGTGATGCTCTTTATGACAGATCAGGATAATGTTATCTTGGATGGAGAATGCAGGAGTAAGATGGGAAGAAAAAACAAATAATCCAAATAGCATCGTCTTCTGTCGATATAAAAGGATATAAAAACTTAGGAAAGTTGAAGGAAGATGAAGCAAACAAGGCCAGATCAAAGGGGCAGAATTAGACAGCTTTAGACTAATAAATTTTTCCTCGGGTGACACAGAGCAAAATGCAAAGAGAAAAGACTATGGTCCCGCCGCCGTCTGTCTAGACTCAGGCGGCTGGCCTGGCTGACAGCGATGGCGTTTAAAGTAGAACCTGCCCAGAGCCAGACAATCCAACAGCCTGAGTGGGGAACGATTTCGGGCAGCGCGGGAAGGAATGCACTTCTCCCAAAAGGGAGGGCTGGGCGCCCTTGCAGTGGTCTCATCTCTGCCGGGATTTTGTCCGGCGGGTGTCCAAGCGCTTCGGGCCAGACGCACTGCCCCTCTGCCGCTGCCAAGGAGGACCCGATACTCTCTGCAGGGCTTCAACCCTTCCAGAAACACGTTAGTTAATCGAGATTATTTTTGAAGGCACCAAAGCCTCCCTTTCGTTTCTGGGCTTGTCTGTCCTCTCTTGCCTTCGGTAGTCCCGACTTTAAAATGACAAGGCCTGACAAAACCAAGCTTTCAATAAGGGCTCTTTAATTGAGTATTCTCAAGCCATTGGCCCCCAAGTTATTTGACTGAACAGTCACGAATGCACTGAAATATGTGGTATTCAGAGAAACTCGTTGATGCTCGGCCCGAAGCAGGCGCAAGCAGGCGGGTTGCTAATCAGCTGAGCTACCTTTAGATATTTCCCAGGGTTTTCATGGAGCTAGCTTTCTACTACAGGCAGAGAGGGTTTCCCCTGCTTCTGGTTCCCAGATAGTCTTCAATATTTAAATCCAATTGGGATGTAAACCCAGCTCCAGGCGGCGAACAGCCTGCCAGAGATTCTGGTGGCGGACGATTTGCTTCTCTGTTTCCACCCGCGCACCTCGGCGAGCTGCGGGACCATTCTCCACCCAGTGAACGTTGCCTGGCCTGGCTACAGAGAAAAACCCTTTCCCAACGTCAGCAAAAGAACTCGGGCCAACGCGGGGTCTTGCCTGGGCGAAGGCACACTTCGGGAGAAACCACTCCCAGGCTGCCGAGAAGACAAGCAGCCTCCCAGCCACCAGCATGCCAAGGGCAAGGGAGGCCCGACCAGGCAGTCTATGAGCCCTCCGAGCCCCTGGGCAGCCTGCACCTACCTTGGGGCCTCTGTGATCAGTGGAGAGACGTGGTCACCACCAATCTGCGACTTCTTTTATTTGTGGTTACATTAAGTCGAGCTTTCAGCGTCCACCGATCTGCCACTTCACCGTTTATTTGTGGTACATAAATCGAGCTTTGTATCTGCGTCTTGGATGTGCGGCCATGGGTGACTCTCAGGGAAGCTATAAAACCCTTTGTACAGTCAGATGCCCTGAAATATTGTTTTATATACAGAAATATAACGAAAGAGTGTGTCTGTAATACCAACGTATGAGAAAGAGAGAGACGCAGAGAGAGCGCGTGAGGGAGAGAGACACGGAGATATCAGGGACAGACATCAGCCCAAATCCACTCTTCAGTTTTACTACTTGTACAGCGCAGAGATGCGGGTCGTAAACATTTTGTGGGCTTGGGGGAGACTATTCAGATCCACATAAATGCACCGTGCGGCGCATTCACAGAACTCCCAGGTGTTGGGAGGATTCTGTTTGCTTTTGCTTTCTCCCCCCAAACCATTCTACACCCGTGGCTGATTCTCACACCAGGGTCCGGGGTTGTCTCTGCGGACCGCTCTGGAGCTTGGTCCCCGCCTGGGTTGGGAATAGCTTGGGCCTGAATTGGTCTCCCTGTCTTCTGGCTTCCTGAGCGAGGGATGCCAGAGTAGCCTCGGTACCTCTACAGCGGAAAGAAGAGAGCCACCAGAGAAAGTAAAGTCGGCCTCACTACCTTAAGCGCCAATTCAGGAGTTAGAGTGTGAAAATTATATTAAACCATTTTCTTTTATGGTGATAACCAAAGCAGTTCCTGATCTGTTCCCCGGAATGCCCTATCCCAGCCAACGTGGCCGATAGACTTAGACTATATAGTCACCAAGTATGCCTTTATGCCCAATTTTTACCCGCCTAATTTTGTCTAATATTCAAGCCGGCCGAATCACAGGGTCCTGGTTCTCTCTTGGGTGCTTGCTCATCAGGCCCTGAACCATTCGCAGGTTTCAGGGGCCTCTAGGGCCATGGAGGGATCCCCGGCCACCGTGTGCGCCCTCCGCACGCCCTTTGCACACCCTCTGAGCGATCACCAAGTCCGAGGGCTGTAGACATTCGTCCCTGCGTCGGCCCGCCGGTCAGCTGGCGTTCCTGCTCGCCTTGCTGCCCTGAGGCCTGTCCCAGTTTGAGGACAGTGACCCAACCCGCGCACGCAGCTGCAGCCTCGAAGCTCTGGGCCTTCGGGATGGGCCGCGAAAGGGCAAACGGTGAGGGTCTGGCAACATTCCACGCCTTGTTCGTTTCCCAACGAGGCTTCCAACTCAGCGTGAGCAGCACCAAAAATATAAGATTTGTTTTCACTAAAATCTAGGGCTCCTGTTCCAGACAAGCTCTCGTCGACATCTTAGGAATTTCTCAGGGTCGCAATGGCTGGAGATGGCGGAGAGGAAGCCTCTTGCATGGAGCCACACTGCCATCTGCTGGCATGTTCTCAGCACTGCAGTCTAGCAGCTTCGACTGCCCTCAACTTTGGCAGCTGCCGCCCGAGGCACAACACCCCACTTCCAAAGGAGGGACGAGGGCTCATTCCCTGGGGAGTCCGGGTGGAGCCCGGAATCTACGCTACGGAGGGGGCAATGCCCATAAAAAAGCTATTTCCGCAGCCACTTTATCGGCGGCAGACAGAGCAAATGAACAAATGAAAGAGCCTTTGGTGGAATATCCTAATTGGGGCTGGACAGTTGTAAACTCATTAAGGGCCAAATTCCAGACAGTTCTCAGACCCGGCCTTTATGGCACACCCTTACTGCCCATTCTTTGAAGTTCCTTCTGTCTGCCACAACAGAGGACGTCCCAATCTGGAGGCGGGGTGGGGGGTGGAGTGAGGGGACAACCCATCCACCCGCGCCCTGGGCTCCCCTTTTGCGCATTAGAACACAGCCAACTTTTCAGAAGTCACTGGGGGATGGGGAGGAAGGGCGAGGAAAGAAAAGGGGAGAAGCGAGGTCGATTCCTCCGGCCACATCTGGAAGGTCCTCTGCCTACGTTGTAGCCTGTTCCCCCGCAGCCCTTTACACCCCATAAACGGTAACAACCCTCATTTTCTTTTATGGCGCTTCAAGGCTGGTCAGTGGCCTCCACTATGCTTCTGCCAGGACTTGTGCACAGGTGGAGCTTGTGGTGCAGGATTCAGATTTTCCTGGGCCAGACAGGCAAAATGCAGGGGTGCAGGTGCGAGGGCCCAGGTCTTGTGGTCTCTGCAAGTCCCCAAATGCTTATTGCTCTGGCCTCTTTGGGCTAATCGAGCTCCAGTTTCCCTTTTCAGAGCCTCATTAGGACGCAGGCCCTCAGCTTCTGTCCTGCCGCCCCCCTTCCCCCACCCTGCCGGAGAAGGCCCCAGACATCTCTATGGGCCCCGGTTTGGGAAATTTCTTGGGGGCACCAAGATGACTGAATGGCCTTTCCACTGCTACTGGCCAACGACACCTGGTACCCCAGCCCAACTTCCCAGGGCTTCCCGGCTGACTGGTCAGGAGCCTCGCCCCACAGCCCATTTATGTATCCCAGCCTGCCTTTGCTGCTCAGCGGCCAGGCAGCTGGCCTGTTTGGGAGGTTCAGGACTGCTGGGCTGCCTGACAGGCCTCGGCTCCCAAAAGCAGGCCACAGGCAAAAGTAGGGTTCTTTCACCCTACCCTACCCAAACCTCCACCCAGAGACTCTACTCCGGCTCCCCTACCCTGGAAAAGGTGTAAAAAACAGACCCGCAGGAAAAAAAATTAGAAAACAATCAATATACTTTTATTTGGCAAAAAGTTAAATATCATCTCAACACAACAATTTGGTCAGTAGGCCTTGAGGTAACTATTGTAAAATATACAGTGTATGCTCAGCCGATGGAAACCCCAGATTCATCAAGGATACAAATCTACAGTAGCCCAATGGCGGTTTCATAGTGTTTAATTTATTAGCAATAAAATTAACTCGGTTACAATAGCATTCATTTTTCCCCAATTAAAATTATGCATAAACCATAGGTAGTACCCTTCTGCACATATGTATAGCTCTGAATTTCCTCACTGTTTGGTGCAAAAACAATATTCAAGCTTGTCTGATTATGTACTTATTAACATAGATTGTATATACAATGGATAAGACAGGACTACTGATCATGTAGAGACTAAAATACCCACATTTCAAAAGTGAAGAAAACCATGAATCTATGCATCCCCGAGAACAGTTTTTAAAGTTTTTTTTTTTATTTCACTGGGAAATCCTTACAGCTAGTTACAATCATAGGTTAACAGCCTAGTTATACAGAAGTATTCCACTACAGAGCTATACTCTATGCAACTGTTTCCCCCTCATAAACAACCTGAGTTCGAATTGAATTCTAGCTTCTACAATCACAACGGGTGCATCACCCAATACACAGAAGTTTGAGTCACAAAACATAATTACCACAATAAAACACAGTATTCAAGTATCTCGGCAGAGCAATCTGCCACACAAAGAGCAAATTAAATTAACTACACAGACTAAAAACTATACAACACACCGTCAACATTGTGCATTATAAAAAGGTAGTTTTTTCCTTTTGTTTTAAGTCAGGAACAGGTAGATTTTTTTAAAAATATATACAAGCTAGCACACACAGCTATGAGCACTAAAGCCCCCTCCCTTTTTTTTTTTTTTTTTTTCTTTTAGAAAATGGAAAGCTTACAATACCTCCTCCATCAAAGCAGCAGGCCTACCAGTCAGCCTGAGCATGGTTTGCCTGGGGAGAGATGTGGCCTGGGGTTTAAAGCCGAGAGCCGCTTTGTGCCAGGATGGTAGAGGCTGGGGTAGGGGGTGAGAGAAGGGAGAAGTGAACGGGCAATTCTTTCTCTTTCTTTCTACCTCGCTGTCTGTTCTAATAAACCTGAATGGCATCACTCGTCTTTTGCTCGATCCTTGTTGATTTTCTTCATTTTCATCCTGCGATTCTGGAACCAGATCTTGACCTGCCTCTCCGTGAGGTTGAGCAGCCGGGCCACTTCGTACCTGCGGTCCCTGGTGAGGTACATGTTGAACAGAAACTCTTTTTCCAGTTCCAGTGTCTGGTGTTTTGTATAAGGGCAGCGCTTCTTCCGTGTGGAGCGAGCGTGAAGCCAGTTGGCTGCCGGGTTATCTGCAAGTAGGGGAGGGACAGAAACACTAGGGTTAGGAGGAGAAGCACCCCCATGCTCTGTGGACTAAGGAGCCTCCTGGGGTCTCTGGCCGAAGTGCAGGACACCGGCTGCACTGGTTAGGAAAGGCTGCCTAGCCTCAGACACAATGGCACTCTGGCAGACAGACGCACGGACGGTCACTTACAATTGCACGCAGTAAAACTTTAGCCGCCTCCTCCCCTCTGTGGCCCTCCTTTCTTCTACTCTGTCCTGTCCCCTTCTCTCCTTCGTCCTACTCTCCCCACATTGTGCAGAGTGAAGTTTGGAAACAGATCTTGCCAAGCAGAGGAAAACCATGCTGCCCTATGTTGGTGTAGCAAGATTTATACTTCTCTCCCTCTCACTGACTCTGTGCTTTCCCTTCCACACCTTTCCTTCTACTCTCCCCACTTCTTACTTGACCTTCCTGTAAGGCCATAGGAGCCGGGCAGGCTGGCAGGATCTCCCAAAGGCCCTTGATCACGTCTCCAGTTTATTTGAATAATCTGGCATGGGGACCCTCATGGCCCAGTTACCCTCAGCCTCATCTTGGGCAGAATTTATGCCACCATGGGCTGAAGGAAAGAAGTAGAGGGAATCAATCTCCCCCAGGGTCCCAAGTCAAGCTGCCCTGGCTGCTGATCGCGGACAATCTAGTCACACAAAAGACTCCGTCTGCTGCGCTGCTTTCTAAGAACGATCCAAAGTATCTCTGCCCTGGGCTCCGGCAGCCAAGGAGAGGGGCGGCGGGTGCTGGCTCCGGCCGAAGTGCCCGCCCCGCCCCTCTCGCTGCAGCAGCCTCCTTCTCTCTACCCCAGCCCTGCAGTTTACTGCTCTCCGAACTTGGGGCCCCATCTGAGGCTCCCAAACAGCAGCTTCTGGCTCCTAGCCCAAACTCAGGAGGCTCCCAGCGAGGCGAAGGCAGGCTCCAGAGAAAGCTGACGGGCCAGCAGATCCAGGTGGCCAGCGTGGAGGCGGCGGCGGGTCTGAAGGGAGGAGACACTTACTGGGATCGATGGGGGGCTTGTCTCCGCTGCTCTCATTCTCAGCATTGTTTTCGGAGAAGGCGCCTTCGCTGGGTTGTTTTTCTCTATCAACTGGAGGAGAACCACAAGCATAGTCAGTCAGGGACAAAGTGTGAGTGTCAAGCGTGGGACAGTCACCCCTTCTGGCCGACAGCGGTTCAGGTTTAATGCCATAAGGCCGGCTGGAGGGCAAGCCCGCGAAGGAGAGCGCACCGGGCGTGGGCTCCAGCCAGGAACGCATGTACCTGCCGTCTGGCGCTGCCGCCGCCACGGGCGCCTGGGGGTGCACGTAGGGGGGGTGGTGGTGGTGGTGATACACGGCCGCGGGCACAGCGTTGGCGCCTGCCGCGTGCACCGGGTTCCACGAGGGGCCGAACACCGCCGCCTTGGACTGGAAGCTGCAGGGGCTGAAGTCGGGGTGCTCGGCCAGCGTGGCCGCCTGCCTGGGGGGCTGCCCCAGGGTCCCGGGCGCGTAGCGGCCGGCGCTCAGCTCGTCCGTGGCGTCGGCGCCCAGCAGGAACGAGTCCACGTAGTAGTTGCCCAGGGCCCCAGTGGTGGCCATTGCTGTGCCCAGCGCCTGGCCGCCCCGGCCCGACCCACGGAAATTATGAAACTGCAGATTTCATGTAACAACTTGGTGGCACCAGGGGGGGAAGTACAGTCACCTAATAAGTTGCCGGCGCGCGCGCCCCCATTGGCCGCGCGCGTCACGTGCCCTCTCGGCGAACAATAACGCGTAAATCACTCCGCACGCTATTAATGGCCCGGTGTTTTGCAGTCATAATTTTTATAGCAAAAGCCATATGTTTTTATGCAAAGGGATCGCGCCGCTCCACGATCGGGTTTGTTTTAATTGTGGCCAACGAAGATTAAAAGATCAAATCTGGCCTTGCCTCTGTGCTCTGCCTCCCCCCTTTCTGAAGGGGACTATTTTATATCACAATTAATCACGCCGCCGGGAAGGCGCGGGCCCGGCGTGCGAGCGCGGCCGGCCGAGCCCCTCACATAAAATTAGACAATAATTGAAGCCATAAAAAAGCAGCCAAATCGCATTCTCGCTCTACTGTATTTAAATCTATATTTATGATATTTCATAAGGAGTTATTGTTTCAGAAGCCACACAAGCTGGAGGGAAGTCGGGAACACCCGACAAATTCGTTTGCCTTTGCCGAGGCTCCCAGCTGTAAAAATTTACGAGGACTTGGAAAGGTTAAATTAGACTGTTGTGTTTGGTTGGCGAGCTCCCTGTAAATAATCCCTGCGGGTCCTCGGGAGAGGCGAGTTTACCCCAGGCCAGCCGTGAAAAGTCAAATTCAACGCAGAATTGTCCCGAGCAGAGTCGCCGCTGTCCCTACCAGAGCTCGCGGGGCAAAGACCGGCCGCCGCGAGGTGCTGCCGGCGGGACCCCCACGCCCTCATGCCTGGAGCGTAGGGAGCCGGGCCAGCCCCCAAATTTGCCACTGCTCCTTCAGGGAGGAAGCAGCCAAGCGCCCCAAAGCAAAAGGTTTGAGGCTTGGTGGTTCGGTATGTTGGGCTCCTGGCCTCGACCCTGCGCATACATGTGCCCAGCTCCTAGTTAGCTGGGAACCAGGATCCCTGGCTGCAGACGGCTGGCGACCCGGCTCTGCGCTCCATCTTCGAAGGCCCTAAACTGAGCTCTGCAAGCCTCATTCCGCTCCCCAAACCCAAGTTGGGGGTGGGGGGAATAAAAAGCCAAGTGGCATCAAGGCTTGGCAAAAGAAAACCCCGCCTAAGAGACACCTCGGGTCCAAAGTCTGGAAGGCCCGCGCTAGTGTGGACTGTACTGGGGCCCTGTGAGCCTTTCAGGGTTCCTTCCTTCCTCCCTTTCCGGCCATTGCTCTGGCCCCTGCCTGAGTTACCCGCAGTCCAAGGCGACTCATTAGAAATGTAGAAGGCCCAATGTAAGGCGGCTGCAGCTCAAGTCCAGGGCTAGAAATAAAAATGGGAAGGGGGGGGGGGCATTGACTGGAATCTCATTTCTTGTCCTAGCCAAATTGGGGGAGTTTATTTCTCATCCCTTGAGGGGGATGGTTGGGCAAATGATTAGGCTAAAGCCACTCTGTTAATTGGAAAGAAAAAAATCTCTCCGATTCCTAACAGAAAGCAGTGACTCCTAGAAACGAGTAATCAAATTCACGTGTGAATACTGTGCCTGCAAGAGTGTGTTTTTCATTAGCCCACTTCCCTGGCGGCGAAGCTGGCGGCCTCAGACGCTTCCTTCTCTCTCCCTCTTTTGCCGTTCATCCTCACCAGGAGTTCCATTAATCCGGTTCCCCAACACCCTGATACACACCAGGATCCGGACACTCCCTCCCCCTCGTCAGTACCAGATTTTCGGGGAGCGAGACAGCGAAACTGCAGCGCTGGCAGATATAGACTAGGTGCCCCTTCCACTGCCCGCGCGCCGGGAAGAGGGAAGTGGCCTAAACAATGAACTCCGACGTGGCCGTCCTGTCCGCCTCAGCCTCCTACCCCTTAATATTTTCTTTACCCCTGTAAATTCTTCTACGACATGCCCACCCCCACCACGCAGTCCAAGGTGTCCTAAATATTCAGCAGTTCACAGGGCATCACATTTTCATTTAAAAAATTAATCCTAAAGAATACCCTCACTCTGCAAACGTCCTGACTGCCTTTTCCACTTTTTGTACTCAGAGAAGACACAGATTATTATTATTAATTTCTTTAAAATAAGAAGCTATTCCTTTAAGTAGCCTTAGCCCCCATTTGGGGCAATTACTAGAGGACAATTGCTAAATAATTAGTAGGCACTGAGTGTTAAGCAGACATTACTTATGCCTAAAAGGGGGGGGGTCAGAACTAAATATTGTCTCCCTTCAGTCCACATTTTGGAGCCAGAATATTGGACTTTTGTGTCCACTTTTATTTTGGAAGCAAAAAGGATTGCGTTTGAGTACAGAAATAATAAATGAGTGTAATTACAAACCACCGTTTCATGACTAACAGTTATTCTAAACCTTAGATTTCTGAAATAAATCCAATGCTCTGGTCCAGGGAATGGTGGAGAAGAGTTGAAGAGAACGGGGTTTGCAGCCCTGTCATATAGCAAATCGGTGATCTGAGCAATAAAAATAGTTCCTGAGCCCTCAGCGCAGCCTGGAAAGGGAAGCATACCTCTGTGGACATGATTCTGAAGTGATACGTGTATGTGTTGGGGAGTAAGGGAGGGATGGTTTGTTTTCAGTTTCCCATAGTGGAAGTGGTCACTAGCTTCTATTGGTAGACTACAACTTGAAACAAGGACTCGAGTCTGTATCCAATGGCTCTGGATTCCTTTTACCTATCTGAAACATATCAGCTCTTGGGAGGGTCACCTTCTCCAGCAGCTGGCTGCACTGGAGTGCCTTAATTAACAAATTTTGTACCTAGTAGAAGCCACTGACAAGCAAGTAGTAAAGCTTTACCCTAGAGGAGCTCCCTCATCGCAGTCAAAGTCTGAACTAGGACTCACAGGCCTGGAAGAGCCTGCAAGAAGCACCCTAAATTGTCAGACTCCACGGGGCCTGGATGGGCCTTAGCTCAGGTCTATAGTGAGGCTGGCAAGGCTTCCCTGCCCTCTGTGTGGGCACATAATGATGTTGAGAATGCACCCCTACACTGGGCAACGGGCGGAGATGGAACGAATGCAAGGCCGCCGCCATCCGGTCGTGATCATAACCGAGGCCTTGTCTGAGCAGCGGCACACCAGGCCAAAACACACGGCACCTCACAGCCTCCCCACATGGGCCTTTCCTCGGCAGGCTACTTAGTCTCTCATGAGTGTGTTGACAAAAATTAGACACCCTCTCACCCCTAGGCTCTCCCTGTGCCTCTCCTGAAGGATAATTTAGAAAGAAGAGAAGGTGTGATTGAGACTGGGAAAGAGAGACAAAATAATGAAAGAAAAATAAAGAGAAGAAAAGAAAGAAGAAACAAAGGACAGAAGAAAAAAGGAGGACTAAAAATGGAAGGAAACAGAGGGAAAAAAGAAGGAAGAAAAGAGACACAGGCGACTCCTAGGACCAGAGGCCGCAGATAGAGAGAAGGGTAAGTGACAAGGCCAGGACCCCAGCCCTTGTCCGCCCTGTCCCTTCTGGTTCAGCGGGCGTTTCCGTTGGTAAAGGGATCTTTCCTGAAATCACACCTCGATATAGTGCGTGTGTCTGTGTTTTCCAGCCTTGCAAAACAATGACGGGGTCCCTGGCCAGGTGCAGGCCTAGAGTGGGGAAGGCTCGGGATGGAAGCATGCGCGCCCCTGACCTTGAATGGCCCAAGGCCCAGAATTCCTACCACGCCCCCGGGCGTCCTAAAAGGAGCTGCTAACCTGACAGTACTTGCTCCGGGCCAGGTGGAGGTGTGTGGGGGAAGGGGAGGGCTGACAGGCTGGCTGACATAGCGCTAAGGAGGAAGACCCAAGGCTCCTGAGCAGGGACATCCGAGGTTGCGGCCTCATGCCTGGCACCACCAGGGCCTTGACGCCCCGCCCCGCCCGGTTCCGCGCGCACAGGTACCTGGAGACGATTTCAACTGAAGTAATGAAGGCAGTGTCGTGCTGTCGAGAGAAAGGTGGATCCCAACAACAGGAAACTACCTAAATCACCGACCAGTTCTGGTGCTGCACGCGCGGTGCTGCCTCGCCCGCCGCCGCCGCCGCCACCGCCACCACAGCCACTGCAGCCGCCGCCAAGGAGAGAAAACACTGCGATCGCGCCCGGCCCAACCCCTCGGCAACCTGCGCCTGCCGCTGCAACTGATACCCTAGACTGCCGCAAATGCGTCACCGAGGAAGAAGCCACGGGCCCCAGTAAGGTAAGGCTGGGAGGGAGAGAGGGGGAGAGAGGAAGAAAGGAAAGCAGGCGAGAAGAGAGCTGAGAAGGAGCTGTGTGCGCGCTGATTTCCCAAATCTTGCAGCTCAGTGAGCCGGCGCCAAGCGGCGGCAGCAGTGGAAGACTGGAAAGCGCCAGGGAATGTACCGAGCACGGCTCACTGTCTGGCCTCGGCCTCCAGCCGCTCACTCCCCGCAGCTCGCTCTCCCCCTCTTTCCTTCTCTCCCTCCCAGCTGCCTGCCGGCCGGGGCGCGCGCTCCCGCGCCCCCTCCCCCTAGCGTCGCCTCCCCCACCCCCAATCTGGGGAGCAGGAAACCCGTGGCCCTGTGGAGGGCCGCCAGGTGGGGAAGGCCGTGCTGGGGGAGGGGGCAGCCCTAGGCGGCCCCGCTAGGGTCCACTTAACCGCTGCCGCTGGCACTAGTGATGAGCTGTGGGCCAGGTCTGCTCCCCGGATTTAGGATGGGGGTCATCTTGGACCCAGGCACCCACAAAATAACCCACGTCTGCCAGCCTCCCTGGGGCTCCTGAAAGAAATCCTGTTTGACTTCCTCTGTCTATGCAGCTCCCCTCTCAACTGAAACCACTGGTCCAAGACAGTCACAATCCAGATATACTAGCAAGTCATAAAACTGAACAAAAGCCGACAAACCTTACGGCACCAGGGCTATAGGGCCCAGACAAATTACGACCGTCTAGGTAATATTTAAATAGATGCCTAAAGTAATTGCAGGGGGCTCGGGTTAGTCCTCCTGTTGTAAAAGTGGTGGAAGGGATAAAGTGGAAGGTGA